TCGTGTTAACGTTGTCTGCTAGGCAAATCCCCACTGTTCGCATCACGAAGCCTGACCTCTGATAGACCATGGAAGAAACAAAGGATCATCGTATCAAAACTCAAGATTCTCATCTATTAAAATTTGAGATTTATACTACATTTGTTTTAAATTATAACAAGCCCAGCTTTTCTGGAACACCTCCAACTCTACGCTGCAAAGATCTGCATGCTATAATCATCTGGTTTGTGTCCGCCTATTTCGTTGCGACCAGCCCGGCGATCTCGTCTGACCACCAGCAAGACTTATCCGATCAAGTCTCCACGGAGAGTTTTTACATGTCGTGCACCAGGAGCTTTAGAACATTTTGGTGGCAAGCTGGGTTTGTCTCCGGTAAATATAACGGGTGGGCCTACGTACGTCGTTCCGAGCAACGTACGGAGTACATCAGCCAATCCCATCAGCCATTGATGATTTATCCCTATTCATCATCTCATCCGTGTCAGAGGGCGAATTCCATACGGCCTGACACAAGTTGCAGCGACCGTCTAATTGGGAGTCGGATGATTGGAAAGCACTGACCGAAGGCCGGCTTGGTCCATGGTCCATGGCAATTATCCGTCCGAACCGATTAGTTGATGAAGTTGACAACGTCGACCTAGAAGCCGGTTGCATTTGCTTCTCAGCAAGACGTGTCCTTCGAACGGCAGAGGCTGGGATTTGGACTCGAGAGGACCATCGGGGCAAGCGACTTGCGCCAGCCGTTGTAGCAACCTGGGCTGCCGCAAAACGATTGCATAAGGACATCTTGTTCTACAGCACAAGCAGAAACAATCTAGCCTCGCAGTTTGTTGCACGACAACTAGGATTGCAGCCGTTGGGTTGGGTATGGAAACTTCACGTGTAGAAGCTGCTTTGTCGCTTGACGGGCTGTGATGAATACCAGACACGAGCGCTATGTACAGTGTCTTGCCAATGCATCGTCCACTCGAGGATCATCGGATAGTTTCAGGATATCCCCTTTGACTTCATCTCATCATGGTCAACCAAGATGATGTTGATTGGCAAGTCTTCGGAATTGGCAGATTGCGCGATTTGAGCAAAGGTTACATATGACGCTAATTATTCGGTTCGCAATCTAGACGAGCCCGACATCAGGAAAAAGGGAGCATTGACATGGTCTATTTCGCAATCCGGGCACCGATTGTGGTAACTTGACAACTTGGCAATTTCGGCCTAGCATATGGTAAGATGGCATCGCACGTCAATGATTATGGATTACGTGGTGGATGATGGAGCGTGTGCACGCATAATGCATGCACAAATGAGATACAGGATTCGGTCACACTGCACGAATTTTCCGATTCGTTGACGAAACAGTCCAACACCCGCCAGAAATAGTCAAAAGCAGGCGACGCGCGGTAGTCATCTGTCCGTTAACCCCAGGGACTCTATTACAATAGCCAGTCTACAAATACATCAAACATCCTTTCTCAAGATTGAGTCATCTCGCAAGCACGTTGGAATTGCGACTCATGTCGCTGCAGACCGTCTGTGTCCCTATTTCTGTCGTCACCAAAACACGGTGACGTGCCATATACGATGACCACCGCCAGGGTGACAAGAGGGTGACACGGAAGTTATCCAGCGATTGCAGATAGGCCAAGGAGGGGAAAAGAGCGAGAGAGAGGGAGAGGGAGAGAGATTTGACGATTGAATGAGCCATTACTCATCACCTCCTGCCGCAACGGCCTCGGGTTCTGCCTCTGCATGGGTTGCAGGAGGTTCAGTCGCCTTGATGGCTTCCTTGGTGGGTGCTTCATCTTTGGCGTCGGCGTCAGCGTCGGCGTCGGCGTCGGCATCGTCGGCATCAGCCTCCTTCTTGGAGTCGTCGCCGTTGGCAGTCTCGCCATTGGTGACTTCCTCGGTAGGCGCCTCCGCAGTCTTGCGTTTCTTCACAGGGGGTTGGTCGTCTTTATTGTATAGAAGGTGAGCAATTAGAGATGCGCTGATGTTGCGGCCAGTGTTCTGATGACGGCCCGCGACTTACCATGTACGCCATTCTTTTCGGCCTTGGCAACTTCCTCGCCTTCACCTCCATCATCGGCTTCAGCCTCAGCCTCGGCCTCGGCCTCATCTTCATCCTCTCCTTCTGCTTCTTCGTCATCCTCCTCCTCCTCTTCGGCGTCGTCTTCTTCTTCCTCGTCTGCGGTGGAGACATACCTATTAGCGGGCTGGTTAGTACATGTCGTCCAGGTTCGAGTGTAAGTAGCAGATGCGCCGAGCAGAATGCGCCGGAATGCTATTGCCTAGTCCCTGACCGAAAAAGACTAAGGATGCCCTGGTCCATCACAATTGATTTCTCAATTGAGCCGGATATCTTTTCCCAGGGCGGATTTGATTGATTGACAATGGCGCAATCCTGGCTGGGTGGCTGAGGATCTGGGCAGACACTCCGGGTGAGGGCTCGGATTTGGACGCAGACTTACTCCTCTTCCTCCTCACCATCATCCTCCTCGGGGAGAGAGACGAGCTCCTCCTCTTCCTCGTCCTGCTTTCTCTTTCGGGAAGACATTACTCCGTATTGGGTCGGAAAAGGATAAGGACCGGCTATGTGGATGAGGCGATTGGGGATGTAAGTGGGTGCCTGCCGAGGGAATTGGATTGGCAACAGATGGGATTAGGTAAACACAGCACGACACGAGAGAGAGGAGAATAGAGGAGGAGGAGGATGGCTAGGGAAGGTTGGGAGGGAGAAGGCTACTTGTACGTTTGGCTTGGACTGGTACGGAGTACTTGACTACGGCACCGAGGGACGAGGAGAGCGAGGACCAGAGGGTAGAGGAGGGAGGGGACGAGGAAGCAACGAAGAGCAACATGAGCAAGCATGGAGCGACCTAGTCAGCGAGTGAGCAGCACACAAAGGCAGAGAAAGGTAGGGGGGTGCGATCAAGAGCTCCGTGGTGCTAAATACCGCCGTTTCATTAACGCCACGCCCAATTCTGCTCCTGGTGGACAGGAACTCTTGGTGGTCCAACTGGGCAGTACGGAGTACACACGCAGCACTCTGTCCGTACGGAGCACACTCGCTGGGATCAACAAACTGGGCCAGGCTGGAGTCCCGAGGGGTACCAAGACTACCAGGCCAAGAGGTATGGACACCAAAAGTATACACAGCACCCGGCCTGGAGATCGCTCCGGCTCTGCACATTACATCCATACGGTACGGAGTATGGAGTACTGATTTTGGTTCTAGACCGAAACCAGCTCGCTCTTGTTTTCTGCGTCAGCCTCCAGTCTGAGCTCAGGGCAGGAGCTGAGGTGCCGGGACGTCAACTGGTTCTTGGTACCGTACTGCGTTACTGAGGTAAGGGGGGACCACTGACTGCAGCGCGACTGACGTACGGTCCTCTGGCCACCAGCCTCGTGTTCAATTCACCGTGACCCCAGCCTAGAGGACATGTTTGCCTATGGGGAGCGAGATTCCACTGCCTTGGACACTTGATCGGCTCGCCCAGGGCGACGACGGGTAACGGGTAGCGGGTAGCGGAAAGCAAGCCCTACAGTACTCCGTATGGCGGAGAAAAAAGCGCATAGTTCATCACGTCAGTCAGAGCCAGGCTGCCGGACAGGGTATGCAATTCCACAGAGTTCTGCGTACTCCGTACATACGGGGGAGAGGGCGAAGCGAGGGAGCTGGTCAAGGAACTTGGGTCGATGAGCAGGCTGGCAAAAAACAAGAAGCAAGAAGAGGATGGCTGGTTGGCGGGGTGGAGGATGCCTGGATGCGGCGCCTCTCTCTGGTCGTCACGTCGTCACCAATTGCGGAGCTTGGGGCGTTTGGGGCATAATCTGGAGACAGAGACATGGAGCCGGCAAGATGGAGGCTTTGGCCACCACGGTCACTATGGCGCAACCCCCGAGCTCTCCCCTGTTGAGGGCTTGAGTCGGAGCAATGACGGGCTGGAGTGTCTGCCCGGCTGTTTGTTTGCTTCGCCGCGGGGCGTGGGATCGGAGTCCCATTCTAGGTCTGTGCAACAGGGCGTGTCTGTAACGGTTCGGGTTCAGTCCTGCTCTCTCAGTCTTGCGCTCCCTGGCGTTTCTCTCTCTTGTCGTCTGTCTGTCCTGCCTCTTTGTCTCTCCGTTTTCCCGGCCTGTCTTGCGTCGACCTTGCGCTACGGCTATCACGTATGGGTAACTGCCTCTAAGCCGCAGGCTGAATGGCTGCATGGTTGGATTGCCCTCGGAGCAAAGGTCTAGCGTTTAGGGACCATTGTTCGTTCTTTCCCTTCTTCTCATGCGCTCCGCGATTGAGGCCCTCCGCTCACCCAACGGCCGTCGAGGCTGCTTGGAGGCTGAGATGCTGCATCGCGGTGCACCTCACCCCGACCTTTGCTTGGCGGAAAGGCTGAGGGAAGCCGACAATGCGCATTGCGTCAAGTCTCATAAGTTGCTTCGCGCGTGGACGTGCAAAGCATTGAGCCCGGAGTCGTCGACCTTGACAATTCGTCCAGCCACCACTTCAGCCCACGCCACCATTCTCCAGTCTTTGTGTTATTTTCGCTTGATCCACGGAGCACTACTCCTTACTCCTTACTTGATCCTTTGTAACTGCTGACTGTCGTCAATTACCTCGAGGTATTTGGTCAAGACACTCGCCTAGGCACGGTGACAAACCCAGGTGTCTCGCCATTGATCCGTGGGGAGTTGTGGCAGGGTAACGGCCGCCCTCTCGCCGCACACAACGGATTGCCATCAAAAGATTATAATGCTTGGTGGTGATGCCCATTGAGCATGTGATTACCTTTTTGTACGTAGACAGTGCTTGCCAGCTTGTTACCCAGTCCTGGCCCGAAAAACGTAGTCTAGAAGGGGCAGAGTCGCATCATGACGGCTAGATACCTATACGGAGCACGGCCGACTAGTATTGTCAATTGCGCCTTTTAACACAGCTTTCTCTGCCGGTGCACTCGATCCTCACCGATTCAACACCCATCACAGTATACATACGTACGTACAAAATGAGCAAGCCTCTTGCGCCCGTCAAGGACATCGACCACCTGGTGCTCACCTGCAGCGACATGCAAGCCACCATCACCTTCTACACCAAATACCTCGGCATGACACTCGAGACATTCACCTCGGAAGCGACGCCGTCTATCCAGCGGAGCGCGTTGAAGTTTGGCACGCACAAGATCAATCTGCATCAGAGGGGCAAGGAGTTTGAACCCAAGGCGCAGACGGCGCAGCCGGGGACGGCGGATTTGTGTTTTCTCGTGGCCGACGGCGTTGATTTGGATCGTGTTGTGAAGGGGTTTGAGAGCGCTGGTGTGGAGGTGCTCGAGGCGGGCAGGGTGGTGGGGAGAACAGGAGCAATGGGAGCCATGAGGAGCGTCTATGTTCGGGATCCGGATGGGAATCTAGTAGAGTGAGTGATGGACAGAGCTTGGGATGGGATGATTGCTAACGCTTGCAGGCTGTCAAAGTATCTCTGATGGCGGACGCGACGGGGAATGCCGGGCATGGAGGGGATGAGTGAGGCAGCACCACGATGTGTGGGGGGTTTACGGGACGGAAGCTGGGTGTAGTTGCGCAGTGGCGGGATAGATTCCGTATTACTACTCCGTACAATAGACGGATCATGCCCACCGTCAGCGAGAAACGAATGGTGTTTTTGACGACGTGGCGGCTGTGGCCATCTCTGCCGCGGAGCCGGCGCCGGCGCCAGCTGAGCCAACCCGCGAGCGCCGTCGGGAGCCCGGCGCCAGACAGCAACCTCGGCTCAACATGCTCCAAACTCCAAGCTCCCCATCCGCAACTCCAACCGCGCCCTCGCCCGCTCGTGGCCATATTTCATCACGCCATTGCCAGCGCAACCATTGCACATCATCATTGACTCGCCCGCCAACATCGACTGCCGGCCGACCAGCTTCTTGGGCCGCGCGCAGCGGAGCCCCCAACCCCAAGCTCCATCACCACCTTCACCACCACCACCACCTCATCATCACCATCATCGCCATCATGTTCGACCCTTCGCCCCCGACCCCCGACTGCCCCTTTTGCGCCATCGCAG